TTTTGCCTGCACATGTGGATCAGGATGCGGTCATTTCTTGCTGAAGAAACCCTTGGACGCCCAGATCTTGGTTTGTCTTCCAAGCTGTTGGTTCGTCTGTATTTCTGCCGAGTGTATCCAACTGCTGAAGGACTGCATATGCACTTCCTGGCTATCTGGCGGCAGCTGTACCCTTCCTGGCTGAGAATCTTTATCTTCAGGCGTGTTTCCTGCGTAAGGTTCCTTGTTTTAGCCATTTTTGTGTCTGAAGAACTTTCAAATGTGCTGGCTTTATGTAGACACGAAGCTTGGCAACAAAAATTGTGTCTTTTAATAAAAAGAACGACCTTCATCACTGGTACCAAAATGACCCAATACTCAAAATTTCTTATGTATTTTTATGGAACCAATCAATTTTAAGTTTTTAATGGCTTTTTTAGGATTTAATTAGTATTTTGGCTGTGACTGTACTAAAAGAAATTGCACTTGAAGATCTAAGAGTGATTCTTAATGCAATATTTCACAAATGCATGGGGTGTCCGAAAACTTTTTTCCACCACTGTATATTCACACTGGACTGTTTTAATTATTTAAGTATTTAGCAACACAGAGACTTGTGGTCAGTGGGATGTGAGGATTCTTATAATAACATCTGTAGCCTACAAATGTGAAGTCCTAACTGTATCGGACTGATCTTTAATGAAAGCTGTTGTCTTGTTTTTCTTTTTTCCTGAAAATATTAATCAACAGTTTATTTAGCCTGTGTAGTTGATTTACAGGAGAATTCATGTAAAATGGAGGATAAACCATGAACATAAACTACAGATCACCTATAAAGAATTTTAATAAATTAATCTATCATAATTAAAACAACTGGAGACTGAAAACAAACTCATATATGGGTCTGATCACTTTTTTAATGAATTGACATCATTCCAGACAGGATGTAAGTGTGTCTGTGACTTCCTGTACGGACTGAAGGCTGCTGGAAACGGTCGGGAAACTGTCCGACTTCACCGCGGCTTTTTGTCACCGCCCCCCACTGCGGCCGCCTGCTCTCGTCTACTTTGCAGGCGAGGCGCAGTTCATCTCGAACGAGCCATTTAGCTAATGAGTGTCACCTGTTGCTATCAAGGAGGTTGAAATAGTTGCTATATGGGGCGGGAGGGGTGGGCCTTAGCGCTTAAACGCACAGAGCCCACGTGGGCCGGCCGCTTCATGCAGCTTCCTCTCATTGGCCGGGGGGGGAATGCAAGCGCGGGTGACAACCAATCATGTGGGACACGGTCTCAATTTGCGTGACGCGTGAAAAGAGACAGAAATGCTGTGCAGTCCCGCGCAACGCTGGATGTCTGGTCACCCTAGGAGGAGGACTTAGACCTGCGCAGGTCCACAACCATCACCATTGTCCAGGAGGTGTTTAAAAGAAGGCAGCTCTTCTCACTCCAGTCAGTGAAGGCCCTCACCAATTTCCTGTTTTCTACTTCCTGCCAGTCCCTGATACATGCCACAATAGCTGTGTCATCAGAGTATTTCTGGACATGGCAGGACACAGACTAGTATCTAAAGTCTGTTGTCTACAGTGTAAACAGGAATGGGGACAGAACAGTCCCCTATTGAGCCCCAGCGCTGCTCACAACTGTCCCAGAGACAGTGTTCTCCAGCCTGAAAACCTGTGGTCGTCCCATCAGGTAGTCTGAGATCCAGGCAGTAAGGGAGGGATCCACCCCAATCTCCTCCAGTTTGTCTCTGAGTGTGTTGGGGTCGGATGGTGTTGAATGTGCTTGAAAAGTCAAAGAACATAATCCTCACATAATCTCCTCCTCGTGAAGGACTGCATCATCCACTCCAGTGTGTTCCTGATAAGCAAACTGTAGGGGGTCTCAAGCATGTTCAACCTGTGGCTTCAGATGACGGAAAAGCAGCTGCTCCAGTGTCTTCATAATATATGATGTTAGAGCCACTGGTCTGTAGTCAGTCATTCCAACCAGGTGCCCTACTTTGGGAATTGGAACAAGGCATGACATTTTCCACAGACTGGGACTTTCCCTTGCCTGAGGTTGAAGATCTACTGGAGGGGCTCAGTTTGTTAAGCTGCACAGTTCTTGAGTAACCTTGGACACACACCATCTGGGCTAGCTGCTTTTCCAGGGCGTAGCCTCTTGAGCTCTGCCCTCACTTCTTTTGCTGTGAAGGACAGAGGGGGGTGCCCAGTATGGGGGGAGGGGTAGCTGCAGTGGTGCAACAGCATGGAGAGATAGTGCCACTCCTGCCGCAGTGCTGGAGGTGCACCAGAGTAAAGGAGATGGTGCTGCTGCTGCCAGTGCCGCTGCTACTGCAGCTGTCACCATTGGCGTGACCACCGCCACCAATACTGGTGCAACCACTGCTGCCGCTATTGGTGCAAGTGCTGCTGCTGCCGCCGCTGCTGCTGTTACCTCTGCCTGTGCTGCTGCTACTGCTGCTGCCGCCATTGGTATCACTGCTGCTGCTGCTGCTATTGCCGTCATTTTAGGTGTCACTGCTGATACAGTGCCAGTTGTGTGAGTGTGGAGAAGATAGCGGAGGGGGAGAGGCTGCAGTTGTAGAACCGGTTGAACTCATTGGCCTTGTCCACATCACCTGCTGTTGCCTGGCTGCTCCTCTTATTGTAGCCTGTGATGGTCCTTATTCCACTCCACGCTTCATTGATGTCCCCTGGTACCGCAATGAATGCATTAGGGTGCTAGTTTTGTATTCTCGCGACTGTCTCCTGTATGACATCATACGATACTGCCGCTGCAGCACATAGTGGAATGTAAACAACAAAGGGGACTATGCGGAGGAACCCTCTCAGTACATAATAATGTCTAAGACCACCTACCAACAGTTCAATATCTTGACAGCAGATCTTTCCTTTTACAGTAATATGACTAGGTTTGCATCATCTGTCATTCACAAACAAAACCAGTTCCCCACCTTTTTTCTTTCCACTCGCCGTCACATCTCTGTCAGCTCGTACAGTAGTGAAGCCGAGTAAATACGCACAGGAATTAGGGATGTTTTTATCCAGCCAGGACTCAGTCAGACTACACTCATGATAAGCGCACTGGTTCTTCATAAGTGTCTCCAACTCCTCACACTTGTTGGACAGAGAGTTGACATTACCCATGAGGATCGATGGTAGAAAAGGCTTGTATCTCCGCCCCCTAGCCTTTAGCTTTGCACCAGCTCTGCATCCGCGGTATGGCACCTTCAACTCCACTGGAATGGGGTGTTGAACTCCATATTTTGACTGCTGCAGCGCAAGGTGGTCATTCCTTGTGTATAATATCTTCATATATTACAACTCAGAGCTATGAAAATGTGCTTCCACTCAGTACGGCACATGCGCAAAACACATATTAGTGAGCATTATTTATAAATATGGGTGTGGTTTCCATTTTTCAAACACATTCTGACCTCACAAAGATCCAATAAGATCAAAACCTTGTTTTTATTTAACTTTTGTGTGCAGCTGTTTTTTCTGCCTTTGCAAACTCTGCCTGTCCAGCAGGAGCCACAGTGTGGGGCCACTGCCAAAGTCCAAACTTTGAAATGAATATCTATTTACCATGCTGGATGAAGCCACAAGAGATTAGAGAGATGTTCTACAATGAATCATCAAGATAAAGTAAGTATTTTTTCTGGGCAGGCTTCCCACCTGCCATCCAGTCAAACGGAGGGTCAAGTTTGGTATCTAACCTTTATCAGCAGGTTACAGAGTTAGAGATAAACCCCAAGTGTGTCTCCTTAGCATCAGCGATCACAGGGTGCAACTGAAAGTTTCCAAGCCAAACTAAAATCTATGATGTGTACATTTGAGGATGCTCATCCCTGGAAGTTGGATAAAGCTGTCCCATTCCTGAGGTTTGGCATCTGAGACTCTGCAACAGAATCTTCTAGAACAGGGGTAGGCAACCTGTGGCTCCGGAGCCACATGTGGCTCTTTAGCCCCTGTCCAGTGGCTCCTTGAGCCTTTGAGAAAAGAATTCTATGGAAATTCATTCTATGAATCCAAATGTTGCTGAACCTCGATAGCAGTGGCTAGTTAGCTATGGATGCCAAATCCAGAAAAGTAAATTGAATAAAATAGAGAATGTAGTAGTGCGTGGACAGATTTGTTTGCTCTCACTGCTAGCTCTGCAAAATTTATGTACCAAATAATCATAAATAGTGCCCTGCACAGTGTCCACCTTGTGGTAAAACATATTAACAAATGCTTATTTAGACCATAAGTATACGCTAATTTAGACTTAATAGGCTATTTACCTTGATTATAAGGCTCAAACATGTTTTGTGGCTCCACGCAGATTTTTTCAAATTATTCTTGGTCAAAAATGGCTCTTTTAATGGCAAAGGTTGCAGACCCCTGTTCTAGAAGCTAGTTCAGGCTGGTATTTTGCTTTGAGATCAGTGGCCTCCAGCAGCTGGATAAGGTAGATGTTGTTGAACCACAATCTCCAGAGGACGTTCTTGATGATCCTCTTTCCATGCTACACTCTGTATGTGAGGTAGCTGGTAAAAATCTTGCAGGTTCACATTAAGGTGAGGCATGACAAGATGGTAGTGCAACGTATATTCAATCCAAGAGACCTAGTGCTGGTGTACATTTCACTGCTTTTAACACAAACAAATCAACATGCACTCTGTTCATAGCACACCAGCTGAACTTAAACTAGGCTGACTACCACAAAAAGGGTTTCTCCAATAATGCATGACTTTGTTGTCGAGGTATTTCTGCTAAAAACTATATATTAAACAAAAGGGTAAAAAATCCACTTCCCAGTAAACCTCCCTGGTTTATTGAATATTTCAGTGTGTTGAAGAAGAGAAGGTGGGATAACTGCACTTGATTCAGTAAAAGAACACTTGCTTTTAAACCATTCTTGAAAAAGGATGATGTTCATTTAAAACAGGTGAAACAATATCTTATGGCCATGTTTTTTTGTGCAGAAATTGTGTTTTAAAAGGCCTACTGGACCCCAATGGATTCATCTTACCCAGTAAACACTGAGGGTTTTCAGCTGTCCTGACTCGGACTGACCAGTGGGGAGCTTGGAGAGGGTCCAGGTCACTGCAACGAGACAGAACATATTTAGTTAAATCACAAAGCATTCTGCTGGTCCAAATTTCTGAATATGTGAATATGATATGCCCATCAAAATCTTCTGCTACTTTGAGTGGACGGGCCAGTGTACATGTTCGAGCTCACAGGGACACCATGGCGCAGATTTAACTAGAATTACTGCCCTGTGGTTGTATGCCTCTGCGCACCAGTCAAGTTTCTCCTACAGTTTACATCCATGTCTGTGAAAATATGGATGCTTCATTGCACCCATTGTCCCCCTGACAGCACAGATGATCTATACAATCGCCACAGTTTTGAGGTGGACACCCAAGATTAGTGTCACCAATTCAGTATCTAACCAAATACTTCCCCTTCTGTTCCTGAGATATGATGTTAAATAATGGCCAGAAAAGTGTTTTATGCAGAACATTATGATATCACAGTAATGCTGACCTTTGACCATTCGGATATAAAATGTCATCACTTCATTTTTGTATCCTTTTAGACATTTGTGTGAGGTCTTGTCAAAATTAGCATATGATTTCTTGAATTATGGCCAAAAACATATTTTGTGACGTCACACTGACCTTCACCTTTGACCTTCGACAACAAAATTCTAATTAGTTTAATCTTCAGTCCAAGTTGACGTGTCAAATTTAAAGAAATTATCTCATGGTCTTCTTGAAATATTGTGTCAGATACAAGGTCATACTGACCTTGACCTTTGACCACTGAAATCCAATCAGTTCATTGTTGAGTCCAAGTGAACATTTGTGCCTCCCTTGAAATTTGAAGAACTTTCCTCAAGCTGGTTTTGAGATATTGCATTAACAAGAATGTGATGAATGTAAGGTCACAGGGACCTTGACCTTTGACCCTTGACAACCAAAATCTAATCAGTTCATCCTCGAGTCCATTGTTGAGTCCAAGTGAACATTTGTGCCAAATCTGAAGAAATTTCCATGAGGTGTTCTTGTGATATCGTATTCACAAGGATGGGACAGATGGACTTGTTTGTACCTAAGGATGGACAAGTCTGTACGTATGTACGTGCGTATGTACGTGCGTACATACGTATGTACAACCCGAAAACATAATGCCTCCAGCCACAGCTATCTCCGGCACGGAGGCAAAACAAACTTATGCTAATAACTGTAGCTTACCAGCTGAAAACAACAACATATAGCCACTAAAGTGACTGATGGTGATATCTATTAAGCTCTAACCTGAACTGACTGATGCTTGTTTGATTGCTCATTCAGAGAGCCAAGGTGCAACATAAGACATGCATCTTAATTGAAATTCTTACAGTTGAAATTGTGGACAGAGGAATTCTTTTTACAGGCAATCATATCATTTCATAGACTGAAATACAGTGGCATTCTGACTTGTTCGTATACACAGGGAGGGGCCGTTGTTGAACAAAAAAGAAAATGATCAATGATCCAAATTATCGATGCAAAGTGAGAACATCGATCCATATCGTCATCTTTAGCATAGGCTTTTATTTTGAAAGTCTGTGTCACTGTCAAACAGCGGCAGTCAGATGATTGAACATTATGTACTCAGGAATAAATCAGCAAAGTGGAAATATTTTGGATTTGGGAGAAAATACAGGACATTGACAGAGCACATGCCGTATGTAAACAATGCTGTAACGAGATAAAACACGACATAACGTTACATGCCTGAGCGTCTCACTGCGCTAACTTCTTGATTTAGCAACATGAGCTGCTTTGTTTTAACAATGTTCGTCTGAAAAAACTTGCATGTAGGCTGAAATTCAACCAAGCTGTTCTGTCAGAAGATGCAGTGACTTGCACCACCAGTGAGTAAGAAAAATAATAATTATTAATAATAATTAGTTAAGCTATGAGTAGAGGAAAAGGCTAATTTATGCAATGTAAACATGTTTAAGCTAACAATGGGTGATTAGCAAAAAACAATGGGTGATTAGCAAAAAAACAGTTGTTTTGTCCATGAACCTTGAGATATTACTGAGCTGAATGTTATACTTCTGTTGAATTATCTTGTTGTTAATCTGGGTTTTATGTAGGGATGGGCAGCACGAGCAAAAACACTATTTGAAAATCATGGCAACTATTCGACAATTTTTCGAATATCCGTATAAGACGGTGAATAGCAATAGTCGCATTAAAAAAATCGATTTTTCAAAATAAAACGACTATTCGAAATTCGAAAATCGTGACCAGTGTTGGGTAAGGCTTACTTTAAAAGTACGTTACTGCGTTACTTTTAAAAAAAGTAACCAGTTACTTTACTGCGTTACTCCCTGAGTAAAGTAACTCAATTACTTTAAAAGTACTTCCAACGTTACTCCCTGAAAAAAGTAACTCAAGCACTTTTAAAGTACTTTTCAGTATTCTACATTTCCTATTGGGCAATGGACCACAGGGCGCTAAGCCTACATTTTTTTGTCTCCAAAATTAAAGTTATGGACCACTTGCCCTTCACTAAGATCCAATTCTCCCATCACAGCCACTGCCGTAGACAACTGTATGACAACAACACCCCAGCACTTTTTAATATTTCCTCTAGGGATGTTACCACACAGAGTAAAAGGGGGAAATGATGGTGTGAAACAGCAGAGGCACTTTGTCAACCCGCTGAGTTAACGTTACTGTCATTAGCATCAAGCTAGCAAACAATGGTACATCCTCACAGTCTGACATAAAGTAATAACATTAACAAATAGCGGCGGGGCTTTTACTCACCACAACTGCGGAGGCTCCCAGCTTCATTTGAAACAAACTACCGTAAAACTCGGAATATAAGTCGCACTGGCATATAAGTCGCAGTCTATTTTTTAAGGTCTCAAACAGGGAAAACAAGGTTTTATATTACTATTTGTTAATAAAAACGTTATACAAGTTATTCCTACACTGTTTCCCTTTATTTTTAATTTGAAACACATTCAAAACACAATAACCTCTTAAGCAGCTTTGGTTACTTTTCAGATTGCAATTTTCCAAACAACCTCTTCAGGAAATAAAATTACGGTATAACAACATCTGAGCCATAAAAATGAGTCTAAATTAACGTTAAACTTCTTTTTTCTTTTTTAAGAAGACAGCATTACAGTACCTTATTACAGTGTGGGCTGTAACTATACATTTTTACTCAAATCCCAAAAACGAATGAGTTTAAATTACTACGTAGCGTAGGTTGACCATATTTTGATTTCCAAAAAAGAGGACACTCGGCCGGCCACGACATAGCCTACTTAAATGATACTCACAGTTTACTCAAAGATGCCTTATAATTTTAATATATTTAAAATTTATATGTATGGATAGAAAATTTGGTTATATTACAAAATAATATCTCTCAAAGACAGAAATTCAGATAGGCCCCAATAGGGGACAGATACACACACTAGAGTGTGGTGATCTGAGCCCGATGGTACCCGACGGGTCGGCCAGGTTTGGTCAAAAATGTAGCTATAAATTGTATTCGGGCTCGCGTAGGATTCGGTCAGCTTTCAGTGAAAACGTAGTGTAAAAATAAATAAAATCCTATTGTCTGTCCTGTTTATTGCTTGGGCACTGTTATTTACGTGACAACACCTGAACATAACACACACAGACACACATTGGCTGTTTGTTTCTACCGCTCCCCTCGCTGGAAGTCTCGGACCTCCAGCCACCCGCCTCTGCCTTGATTAAACGCTGAAAATAACATAAAAGAGGGAGACAGGTTTTTCCTATTTTATCTTATTTTGTTTTATTTCTCCCTCTCCTCTCGCTAGAAGCGTCGGACCTCCCGCCTCCCGCTCCCGTCTCAAACATGGAGGTCTCCCTCTCCGCAGCTGAGCACCCACAGCACACGCCCGGCCTGTTAAATAGCCTGTAACCACTGTGTGACACAAACTCAGTGCTTTGGTCATTAAATAATGTTGGTTCGGGTTCAGACAGAAATATGCTGCCCGTGCCGCACTCTAACACACACACACACACACACACACACACACAAACACACGGAAAACCGGACATTATCATCAGTTTATAAAAGACCCCCGGACTCCCCGGACGGGATGTGAAAAGTGTCCGGGCAAAAGAGGACGTTTGGTCAGCCTAACGTAGTGCCATCTTGTGGGTCAAATTACCTATGTCAGCATTTATCTTGGTCTATAGGTCGCACCGGTCTATAACCCGCACCCAACTTTTTAGATGAAAAAAAAGGGAAAAAACTTATACACCAAGTTTTATGGTACATTATAGACGGTCTGTTATTTATTAATCCCTCTGTGTTTTTATATAATTACTTTTTATCCGCTCCCATTGTCTTTGTAAAGTTAACATATCGCACCATCATTTCAAACTCAACACTTGTTTCAAATTAAAAGCCCCTTATAACCTCGCCTAGAGAATCCCTCCATTTTCTAAATAGGCTTTTATTCTGAAACGTGTCAGAACTTCCTGTGGAAGATACAGTAGCTTGATAGTTTACCTATGGCGCTTCAAATGTAGCTCCTGCCATCTGCTGACGCTTTTAGGTGACTACAACAACATGTTGGCTGGCACATGAAACTGACTCAAATAATAGTGAAAGTAATAAAAATAGGACAAGAATAACCCGATGACATCACACACACCGTGAAAGACGACCGGGGATAATTGGTGAGTACCAGCGTGTAGCATGTACCAGGCATAATGCAAGTCCTGAGTCAGAAATATGTCTGTCAGCAAGTCCTACTCCACCTATTTAGACTCCACCGTAGACAACGGCAGCATTTCTCCGACCACGTAGCGAGCCACAAGCTCCGTGGCTTCTTTCAGACTGATAGGTTTAAAATAAACTCCGTTATTAGAAACAAACAACAGCAAATGCTGTTTCGGAGCTGAAGGACCAGCGTTCTAAAAGTAACGAAAGTAACTGATGTCTTGTTTGAAAATGTACTTAAGTATTTGATTACTCAAACAGCAAACTAATGCGTTAGGTTACTCGTTACTGCAAAAAGTAATCCAAGTACTCTAACACGTTAC